CCCCTCTACTGACTGAAGTGTCTTTAGGCCATTCCCAAAGGGGAGACATTAACATGTTCTTATGCACAGTAGAATTGTAAATGGACAGATTCAACAATATCATGCTCATAACTGTGTCTGAACTGCAACAGGAAACTGCTGCTTTTTCTTTCCTTATCCTTACTATCGTCATTTTTCCTCTACTTCTTTTGTATGTTTGTCACACTCTCATGACCCGCTGTTTCCGTGGTGCCTTGATATTCGAAGCAGACTTTGTGCTGTTGAAGCTAGAGAGTTGAGCAGAGTAAGTCTGATTCCCTGTAAGGGCTTTTCTGTTGACATCTACCCTTTGGCGCTCATATGACCTTATGCAGTTGCGTGCGCCGTAAAACCTCTACTAAAACTAAAAAAGGATACACATCTGTCACCATGGGAAGGGGGGGGGGGTCGATTTTCGACAAATGTGGCATACGTGTTTTCTTGAACTGAGCCGTTCATTTGCTTCCACGGGACCGCTGGCAGTACTGTCTAGTTATGGGTGGTTGGCAGTTGCTCTGGTGTAGTTACTCCTTTCCTATCAAACATCTATCGTTCATACATCTCCTCCTAATCCTTCTTTTCTGTGTATGTATCTCTGTCGTCATACCTCTATTCTTCTGCACGTATATGACCCATAGAGTGTGCTGCAAGTGCAGTAAGACTCTTACAAAAACTAAACCAAAACCAAAACAAAACAAATACTTTTTCAAACATCTAATGAAGTGGAAGTATTTGTATCTATTGTCATAATAAAAGCACATGCATAGTAAAAGGCTAACATTATTTAATCCGATAATCTAGCTAAACTACGCTATCCAACGAGGCGATTCAATTAATAAGCAACAGGAAAATTACCTTTAAAAAAACACAACAGAAATCGAGATAAATAAAAAGGAAAAAAACCCACTCCGTTTCGGTTTACAAAAAACCTTTCTCGGTTTTCTTTTTTTTAGTTGAAATTATTCTAAGAGGATCAGCTTTACAAGCATCGACAAAGAATGAAAAGAAACATATAAAAAATTCTGAACATCAAAAGGAAAAACACCCAATGGATTCGGGAAGATATTACGTTGGTCAAAAAAAATATTTTTTTAAAAACGTCATAGATTTTTACAACGAATTTTCAAACTTAAGGTTTTGCTCTGTCCCTGCTATTATTTGCTTACTTGCTTTTTGTCAGGAAGAGAAGGGAGGGGTGGGGGACACAGATAGCACTGTGTTTTCAAGCCAAGCACTGATAAATATTTTCTGTTTAAGCATTATGTTAAAAATGAAAGCATTTTCTATTATCTAAAGCTACTATGTCTTGTTCACTTTGGTCCATCCGCGTTAAGAAAAGATTCTTACCCATTAATCAATTTGCCAATGCTAATGTAACTTTGCATGGCATTCCTTAAGCCAACAAACCAAACCATATTTTCTAATTTTTTAAAATATTTCTTTTTCTTTTTTAAATCTTGATTCAGTTATCAGAATGTTTCTTTAAAGGCCCTATGCGAACACCGTCTTGTCATTGAATACACATGACATATCTACAATTAATGGTTTACTTTAGTCTTGCCTACAAATTGATCTTTTTTTTTTGAGTAAGCGATACCACCCAGCCCCACCCCCCACCATCAAATTTCAGTGTTATGTGTAATTTTTCTCTCTAAGACCATCTGCACATCTCCACGCGAGACTCGAGAAGTACTAAATCTTATTATACTGTGTTTCATGGGCGTGCTTTAAAATAATGTGATGTTAATGAATAGAGGTCAACATTTTATGAAATAGGTGTATGCTGTAAACCCTATTACTTTTTATCTATTTTATGCAACCATCAAGAAAAAGTATCGGAACATTATTTTGCAGTGGCCTTCATTAAGGGGATTTTATTATCTTTTACTTTTGGTTTTCCAACTTTTAGAAAGAAAGAATGATGGAATGAACGAACTAACGATTGAACGAATGAATGAAACAATGAATGAAATTAAAGATTCAATAAATAAAGTACGCGTTTTTTTCTAGTCTACCCCATGCTTTGCCATGCTCTACTACAGGCATACACGACTGATACAAACAAAATGTGCGGACATAATGTCTAAGCCTAGACATAATGAGTAGACATAATATGTAGACAAAATGAGTAGGCTTAATGTGTACACATAAAGTGTTGACGTATTGAGTAGACAATATGCGTAGACATAACATGTAGACATAACGTGTAGACATAATGTGTAGACATAATGTGTAGAAATAATGTATAGACGCAATGTGTAGACATTGAGTAGACATAATGTGGAGAAATAATGTGTAGACATAATTTGTAGACATAATGTGTAGACATAATGTGTAGACATAATTTGTACACATAATCTGTAGAAATAATGTG